TGTGTGTGTGTGTGTGCTGAATATGCTGAAATGGGACCCAGGAGGCCGGTTTGAAAACTTTGAATTGCACCTCAGCTTTGCAAAATGGGGTGATTTTTTTTTGTTTTTTGTTTTGTTATGCAAGTTACATCTTCCACTTCAAGCATTGGGGTTTTTTTTGCTTTTGGTGATGGTGGTGGGAATTCTGATGGATGACAGATCTGGGTTGCAGTCGAGGAAAGCCAAAGGAATGAAAGTCACCCTGAGAGAACTGTAGATTTTCTTCTGATTTTTATGTTTAACTGTGAGTCTACATCAGTGTTTCCCAACCTTGGCCTCAGGAGGGAAAGTGGACTTCAACTCCCAGAATTCTGCAGTTCTGACGCTTTGGTAACGAAAGAGCAAGCAATATTGTGCTTCATAGAAAAAAATACTACAGAATAGATTTCTACACCTTTCTAATCCTCGATCTACTGCCAAAGGTGAGCTCAAAATTTGAGCTCTGTTGCTCAGCTGTTAAACAGTTGCCCTGTTTTATGACCTTTCTTGCCTTTTATGACCTTTCTTACAATTCAGTTGTTAAGTGAATTGTTGCAGTTGTTAAAGTTAGTAATGCAGTTGTTAAGTGAATCTAGCTTCCCCATTGGTTGTTGCTTGTCAGAAAGGCGCAAAAAGTTGATCACTTGAACCCAGGACACTGCAGCTGTCATAAATATGAGTCAGTTGCCAAGCGTCTGAATTCTCATCATGTGACTATAGGGATGTTGTAATGGCCATGTGAAACATGGTCATAAGTCACTTTCTCCAGTGCCATTGTAACTTCAAATGGCCACTAAATGCACGGTTGTAAGTTGAGAACTACCCATATTAACCCTTGTCAATCTATTTTGGAGGACACCTGCTAATGATGAACAGTTTCTTTATGTTTTCCAAACTTTCATAATCTCCAGGACCTTTTAGAGTGGCTAATATTAATTCTCTTTTACAGGGACTTAGTTTGAATCACATTGATATTGTTAATACAGGTAGTCCTCAACTTACGACCACAATTCAACCCAAAATTTACGTTGCTAAGCGAGACATTTGTTAAGTGAGTTTTTTCCCATTTTATGATCTGTCTTGTGGCAGTTGTTAAGGGAATAATTGCAGTTGTTAAGTTAGTAACACGATTGTCAAGTGAATTTGGCTTAGCGATTGACTTTGCTTGTCAGAAAGATCACAAAAGGTGATTGATCAAATGATCCCAGGACACTACAACCGTTGCAAATGTGAGACAGTTACCAACAGTCTGAATTTTGATTACATGATCATGGCGATGCGGCAACGGTTGTAAGTGTGAAAAATGGTCATAAGTCACTTTTTTCAGTGATGTTGTAAATTTGAACAGTCACTAAATGAACTGTTGTAAGTCAAGGACTACCTAAAATTAAATTGACCAATTTTTCTAGGCTTTCATTGTATTGCTTTCATTTTACATGAATTGGTTAAGCAGAAAAGTTGTTTTTATTGATTTATTTACACGATGCTGTTTAAATATGACAACCCTGCCCCAAGTGAGAAACATGCTGAAAATAAGTGCAATAGAAAAAATAAGGAAACAAGAAAGAAAAATACATAAGGTGAACAGGAAAAGAATATGCAGTTAGTTTAATGATGAGTAAATTACTTACTTACTTATGGAAGAGTAGCTTTCCTTTAGCCTAGTGTTCTGCAGATATGTTGGACTTCAGCTATGTTAGTGTGTTTCCAACTAACATTGCCAAGAAAAACAAATTGAAATATAATATTGATAAACATTGCAAAAATGATGAATGTTATGATAATGATGATGAAATATTGAAGGCACATTTAAACTTGTTTGTAACTTTTAGATTTACTGACAGCATTTGAAACTGTGTGTAAATTGTATTTGTTTACTGCCTAAATAAGACACAACAATAGACAAAAACTTGTTAAGTTGAACCAATAACTACATAATTGTACAAAGAAAATCTCTACTGATTCATTTAGAACAAATAGAAGTTTAGTAGGGTTGTTTGTTTAAGATGAGCAGTCACACCAAGGGTGAAATCCACTTACTTTTGATACCAGTTCAGTAGCATTGTGAGCGAGTGTGCATGCCAGTGGTGGGTTTCAGGTGGTACGCCCTGGTACATGCATACTGGTACCTGCCCGAAGCAGCAGCCACAGTACCAGAACGGTGCTTTGGGGGGCCCTCCCTCTCTCCCTCGTTCCTTACAAGTATTTGAAGGAAATGGGCCATCTGCGTATGCGCACGCTGTGTACCACACCTGCACGATGCTCCGCCGAGCAGCTGGAGCATCGCAGGCGGTGGGTGTGCATGCGTGCGCAGTGCATGGGCCCATGGTGCATGCCCCTCTCCCGTTGCAGCGTACCGGTTGCAACAGGAACCGAAACCCACCACTGGTGCATGCGCAGGAACCTCCGCACATGCGCAGAGCGTCAAAATGATGTCTGGGCGGGTGGATAGAGCTGCTACTGAGTGCGCCTGACAAGTGAGTAAGCGAACAATGAGGTAAATGAGGGGGGGGGGAACTGTGGCACGCGATTTATATTAGCTAGAAAGCAGGAAATCCTGCTTTCTAGCTAATATAAATCACGCAGCATGGCTAATCATCGAAAAAACCAGTTCACCCAAACCAGTAGAATTTTTTTTACTACTGGTTCGGGTGAACACTTGGCATCTTTGCTACTGGTTTAGGCGAATCGGTCCGAACCGGTAGCATTTCACCCCTGAGTCACACTATTATAAACAAAATCTTTAGAATTTCTCCAGTGTTACTTATTCCTTTTTTTATCACAAATCTCAGAACATGTTGAAACTCAGCTTTGCAATTTCTGTTGTTCACTTTGTGAATGAAAAACTCTACTCACTTGTGTAATTACATAACTGTGCATATTTATCCAAGTCTAGATCTATGTAGTCAAGCTAGGACTGGATTCTACAATAATTGAATTGGGATGCCTACCATGCACTGTACCTTGTCTTAAATCTATACATTTTTATAACTTTTTTCCTCTTTTCTCATATCTTTCTGTTGGCATGCCATTGTTTCATTTAGTTTACATAGGAACTTTCTCTTGTTTGAGAAACCTTGCCCCATGTCTTCTTTGAAGGTATCATTCTCCATATATTGCAAAAGCTGAAATCTTCTAGAAGAAACTTATTTTCCTTTCTCTCTTGCTTTGAATCTCTCACACATTTTTCATTTGTGATCACTTACGCAAATATTCAGCATAAAGACAAAAAATAATCACTTCATTGTGGCATTATCTAGGAAGTCTATTAAATGCTACTAATAATATATTTGTGGTTGTACTCACACATGATTAATTGATCGATGTAGTTATGGTGTTTGTGTTTTATATTTAATGTGGTTATAGATGATTAACATATTTTAACACATTTTAAATAATCTCATTTAGATTCTTGAAAATGAAGATGTTCTGCAGTAAATAGTTATAAGTTGCTTAGGTCTGAAGAGAGCTCTTAAAAGGCTTATACTGTAAAAAAGAAAAAAAATGTTAATATAAATTATTTCGAAGTAATGTTATTTGGTCATCATTCAACTAAATATAAGTGGCAAGTTGAAAGACATGAATAAGGAGATGGAATGAGTAGAGAAGGGAAAGATGAGAAGTTCAGTCTTTGACATACTGAGCTTGAGCTGACAATGAGGCATCCAGACAGAAATATCAGAGAAGCACTTGTAAATATAAAGTTGGCTAGAAGATGGGGGCCTAAGGTTGAACGGGGTGCTTTAGTATCCTCAGTATGCAGGAGATGCTGAAAGCAGGGAGGTGAGACTTTTCAGGATTGGGGCTATAAAAAAAGGACAGTTTGATTTCCCCCATACAAAAATGCCTCTTTGAGCCATGTGATATAACATTTATATAGGTAACCTTAATCTTGTCTTTTTTTTTGCATTTAGAACAACAATTTGCAACCTCTATACTATGCCACGGATTACAGAACCAGTTTGGCTTACGATGATGTCGGGGATGCCCGAGAAGAATCAACTCTGCCATCACTTTATGAAGGAATTTACTTTCCTAATGGAACAAGCTTCCAGGAACCAGTAAAGCATTCCTATATTATCTTTTTTTTTTCCTTTTTAAATCTTGTAGCAGTTTATTAAGGATCACATGCATAGCAGTGTCCTTTTCCCCCCATAAAAATGCCTCAAACCCATAAAGGATGCTATTTATCAGGATCTAAAAATGTACCCTCAGATGACAGTGAAGGGTAGAAACCTAAAAGAAAATTACCTCAATTGGTAACTAATTTCAATTTTCTCTTTGACGCCAAATTTAAACTGCTGAATTAACATTTTAAATCTTTAATTGTAGCATAATTTTCAATTCTAGACAAAAAACTACCATTAAAACAATGAAACAGAATTCAGTTGCTTAGTATCAATACTACTATATAACCCTGATAGCCAACAATAACTTGAAACACAACTATTATAAAATATTTTAAGTCTTTTTTCAGCCTCTTTAAGTCATGGTTCAATTCTGCTTCTAAAAAAAAAAAAAGTTAATGTTGCTGTAAAAGATTTTAGCCAATGAGACCTGATGGCTGAGTGAAAGAATACAGATTTGCATAAACAGGAAGGGAAACTTAAGATGAACTGCCAAACCATATAATCTCCAAAGTGCTCAGTAACCAGATGCTGGGAAGCTACCAGCTGCCCAATATCATATGTTAACTACATTTTCTTAGCTGGGGGGGGGGAGGAAGGAATGTAGACTTGCCCTTGGGAATGGTGAAGAAAAGAACAAACCATTAAGGGGGAACTTTAAAAAAAAATTCAGCATGAGAAAGAAGAAACCACAAGAAAGGAAATCAAAATAAATTATGCTATGATTTTAACATAGCTAAATAAAAGCGATGATTTTGTTTTATGTAAGGTGGAGCATGATAGATTTTCAAGATTTTGTTATTTTACCCTCCAACAATAAAGAAGATTCCTGAAATTCCTGCCTTCTATGTTTCTTGAATTTGCTTTACTCAAAGGGCAGACAGTTGAACTGATGCAATTCCATCGTATATTGTATCCAGATTTCAAAGCTTCTTTAAGAATACTATTTATTTACTTATTAATTCAATTTTGAAGCCACTTGAATCCCTGGCAACTCTTAAGTGGCTTACCGATAAAAAATTAAGATCAAGAAACAGGAAGACAACTGGCCAGGGACACAACCCAAAGAACCAAACAGCAAAACAAGCACAATCTTAAACTAAGGTCTGAGAAAACAACCAGATCTTTAGCAATTTGTGGAAAATAAAAAAGGTGAGAGCAGTTCAAATCTCAGGATGATGGTGTATATCATTCTACAGGACAGGAACTATCACTGAGAAGGGACGCTTCTGAGGTTCCCCAAGATGTCACTGTTTAATTAATGGGACCAGGAGACATCTGGATAGAGGTGGTTCCTCACATAATCAGGCCCATGCAAGATTTTAGAAGGAATAATCAGGATCTTAAATTGCATCTGGAAGCCAGCTGTCAACCAGTGCAGTTTGAGAAGCAGCAGGGATGTTACAATAACCCAGTCAAGAGGTGACTGACTGAAGATCCTCTTGTGCTACTTGAGAGCACAATGTGATGTAGGCCAAGCCAAAAGTCCTTTTAAAGTTCTAAGGCATCTTCTTTTCCAGAAAAAAAAATGGGGGGAGGGGGGAGAGTACATTTGAAATTCTAGTTGCCTTTAAAAATTATTAGCATTACACGTATTGGTTTCTTTTTTTTTTCCAATAATTTTTTTTATTTTTTTTTGTTACATAAACAACACATGCCCACAACAGTGGGGGAAAAAAAATCAAAACAAAAAAGAACAAAAAACAAGACAGAGAAAAAAAAACCAAAAAAAAAAAAAAAACCCACAACAAGTATATGTTATAAAAAAGTATATCAGCTGGTTACAACAAGTTTAGCTAATGTTTAGCTAAAACAGGATATGAGGATTTGATGTCAATGGAGGATTTTATAAACAAGTAAATGAAATGCTAGCATGTGGTTATGGATTAAATCTTTGGCATAGTTAAGGATGAAGGATGTTTAATCAACTGTAGTCAACTAAAAGTGGAGGTATGATGATGTTAATATGGTAAACATTTGAGTTAAGATATTTGAATTAATATGAATTAATGGAAGAGATGCACAAAAATGTATTGGTTTCTTACAAAAATCTAACATTGTAGAATAAAACAAAGATCCAAGTGCGTTGTATTTAGTGGTTACAATTCAGAAACTCCGTGTGTTGGTAAAACACAACATCTGCATTCTGTTCCCCAATGTACCGTTTTTGAAACAGAAACCACAACATGATACTGTGTCAGAGTTTTGGAAATACCTTAGACTCTGTTCCCTGATCTGGAAATGTTAATTGAATTATCTCTTACATAAGGGACATGTATTACAGGCTTCCTTTTACAGAAGTAAATTCATTCAAAATCCCATACTTCAGTTCTTCAGTTTCTAAAGAATGTTCCTTTTTTCCCATCCAGATTTTTACCTGCTCTTCTAACTGCAGTTTTGACTAACCATCTGGCCTGGGTGCCAACTGTCATGCCAAATGGCCAGCCACCCATTCGAATATTTCTAGAGAAGCATTCCTCACAGACAGTGGACTTGTTGGCAAAGAGTCACCCGTACAACCCACTGTGGGCACAATTAGGTATGTTTTAAACTACCTCAGCATATTTCTTCCATAAACAAAATATCCTTTTGCTAAACTGTTTAATTCCTGATTGCTAAAACAGATGTATTCGAACTTTAGTTTCTTGCCACATTTGTTAAGCGAATCTCTGCAGTTTTTAAGTTAGTAACGCAGTTGTTGAATGAATCTGGATTCCCCATTGACTTTGCTCATTAGAAGATTGCAAAAGGTGATCACGTGACCCTGGGACCCTGCAACCGTCATAATTGTGAGTCAATTGTCAAGCATCCGAGTGTAAATCACATGACCATGGTGATGGTGCAATGGTCATAAGTGTCAAAAACGGTCATAAATTACTTTGTTCAGTGCCGTTGTAACTTCAAATGATCACTTAATGAACTGTTGTAACTCAAGGACTACCTGTATTTCCAGGTTTGTTAGTCAAATTTCTTACAGTCTGATTCTATGCATATTTATTCAGAAATAAGCATTATGATAAATTATGAATTCTGAAGTGCAAAACTCTGGAAATTTATCCAGTTGATCTTAATAGATTGGGCACTGTTATGCATTAAGCAAATCACATTCTGTGGGAGTTTTATATACAAAGTTTCAAGACAGCTGCCAGTTTGTTTGTTTTTATTATGCCTGGGCCATATCTGTAGCGATGGTCAAAATGAGCTAAAAAATACAGGAGTAAGAATCAATTGACAGTAAGGTCATTGTACATTCTTATAGAGTAGTAACCAGATGAACAGCTGCATCTGAAATAGTTCCAAATAGAGAATGTCTAAAAGATGTTTGAAGAGAAGTTACAACATACTGTACATACTATGGAACAGTTTTTGGCTATAATCATCAACGTAGAACAGATTGATCTGATAGTAACAATTTGAGATAGAACCAATGCAACCAGAGTTCTCTGCAAACTATTCTGAGAGGTACCCTCCATCAATCATTTCTTTATGCATGTCCAGACATTTATAAATAATCTCAGAAATGCTATATCAGGCTTCATGACTTTGAATGATTTGCCCAGCCCTAGAGTTTGGTTTGGGGGGCATTCTCATTCATTCATTCATTCATTCATTCATTCTCTCTCTCTCTCTCTCTCTCTCTCTCTCTCTCTCTCTCTCTCTCTCTTCTCTCTCCTCTCTCTCCTCCCTCCCTCTCTCCTTCCCTCCCTCCCTCTCTATCTCTATCTATCTCTTTTAATTGCATTGTAAAATTCATGATAGGAAAGCCAGCTGGCTTGGTTCTTCTCCTGGTAGTTATTTCTGTCCTAAGTGTTGGGAAATAGAAAGATACTCTGCCTTCTCATAAATTTCAACAGTGACAGTGCCGCCTTAACAGCAAGTTTATGATTGTGAGATAGACAATGTGTGACTGTGTGTGTATATGCAGATTTGTGTTCCCTGCACCAATTTGGCTTAGAGCTGAAAAAGATAGTCCACTCTTAAGTCTTTACAGAAGATCTCCATTATAATTCAATTATTCTGTTGCATACTAAAAATAACAACATGCTGCTTTTATATTCTGTTTCCCAGGAGATCTGTATGGAGCCATTGGATCACCTGTGAGACTATCAAAAACGGTTGTGGTTGGCAAAAGGCAAGATCTTGTGCAACGTTTACTTTATTTCCTTACTTATTTCATAAGATGCTCGGAATTGCAAGAGACTCATCTTTTGGAAAATGGTGAGGATGAAGCCATAGTAATGCCTGGTACAGTCATCACCACAACACTAGCAAAAGGTGAGGTGGAGGAATCTGAATATGTGCTCATCACAATGCACAAGAACAGAAGCAATATATCCTTTCAAGAGACTGAAGAAGTTAGAACTTCTGACTGCGGTTGTAAATATTGCAAATGCCCTGTTAATCCTGATCAAAAAGCAGATGCTGTTTCAGGACTGGAGAAAGAAGATTCACAGAATGGCCTAAAGATGGATAAAGCTGCTTCATGTGAAAGCAGTGTGGAGCCTTCTCTTGTTCAAGAAAAGTCTGTTGAAGTTAAATGCAAAGAAGCACCAATGCCTTGTGCAGGAATACAGTTAGAAAGAGTAGTCTTCACAGGATCAGCATCTGTGGAAACGTGTTTGTTGCCAGAGTCCAGTTTGGAACCAACTGGTGGATTATGGCAGAATAGAGAATTGATGGATTCTGACAATCAGCCTGTGGAACTGTTAAGATCAACAAGTACAATGGTAGAGAAGAAACCGCCCGATAAAATGTCATCTCATGCAATTCCTTGTAGTCTGGCTGAAGCTCAAACAAAGGTGACTTTCCTCATTGGAGATTCTATGTCCCCTGATTCAGACATTGAGTTGCGAAGTCAAATGGCTGAAGAACAAATGTCCAGGCACAGCAGCTATATGGAGATTGAAGAAAGAACAACTGCTGAGCAGAACTGTGAAAATCAAACCCTTGAGGACCAAAAAAGAGATCAGAATGTGCCTGAAAAGTTCCCTCAGGTTGCTATTGAGGTCCAGAATTGGAATCCTTACAGAGCAGAAAGTGAAAATTTGCTTACCGAATATTTTACTGAAGAAGGTTCTGCTGTAACCAGGACTATGGATGATATTCCAGTGGAAACAGCAAGAGACATTCTAGACTCTAATAGTAGCTTAGAATTTCCACCCAAAACTTTGAGTACAAAGAATAACAAATCCCCTAGTGAATTTTGTAAGTTTGTAGAATCTGTTCGTCAAGAGACTTGTAAAAACTGTTTTGCAAAGCAGGACCAAAGAGAAAAACTCTCCATATTTATCCCCCATGGGGAAAGAGAGAACTTAGAAAAAAAATCTGATCCAGGTGTGGATTGGGACATTCCAAGGAATGAAAGTTCTGATAGTGCTCTTGGTGACAGCGAAAGTGAGGATGCCGCTCATGATGCTGCAAGGACAAGCAGCAATTATTATGGGGCAGAACAAGAAGAATGGACAGAAGAAGAGGACATACCATTTCCTGGGTAGGTAGTATTTCTTGTAGTAATGTACATTTTCTTAAATCTGGATGATTCAGAGTAGACCAAATGAGGAAACCAAAGTCTTGTAGGCCAATATTTTTATTGAATATGTAATAAGATCAGAATCTTGCAAATCTGAATGTGCTGCCTCTTCCCTCCTTTCTTTTTCTTTGTGGGAACTAGGGAGGGTCTTGTCTGAGATGTCTCTCAGGTTACTATCCACCTTGGACTCAGCCCTCTTTTATCTGACCATTGTCTTGGTAGTAACTCTCCCCCCTTTTCCTCAAGGTCATTCCCTCTTCCCTGTCCAGTGATTTACTACATTCCTCCCAAATAGTGGTTTTGAAGGTAGTAGCCAGACATGTAGATGTATGTGTGTAAGGGTTAAACACATATTGGAGAAAATGCTATGTATTTACTGTAATTATTTAACTGGGTTTCTTTCTTGGCATTACTTTTAAGAAATGCAGTAATGCAAATGATACCTATTTCACTGAAGCTGCAATTTAAAGAGTCTCTAATTACCTTTCACACTTTGTGGGATATAACCCTAATTTAGGATAAGTTATTTAAAGGAAGACGGTTGTTTAATAAAATACTATGACTATTATCAACCAGGTTTATATAGTTTTTTTCATGTCTATTCTATGATCCAACTGGAAGTTTCTTTAATCCATATTCTAACCTTGATCCACAGTGAAGATGACCCAATTTGCACTAAAATTGATCTTATGTACAATAGACAGACTTTATTATGATCGGTTGAAAACAAAACATGTTAAAATAAGAGTAAAAACACAAAACAGAATAAGAATGTTACATGTTGGTGATTTCATAGGTAGACAGTTGGAGTATGTCTAATTTTACAGGCAGTATTTTAAAATTTGGCTATGTTCAAGGAAATGCTGTTGTAATAATCATAACTGTGCATAAAAATGATCAATATAGGAGCTTATATATGTATAGGTCCCACAGAAATCAGTGAAATGTTGGTGGCGTTGATGCAATAGTTGCCCACTGTAGTCTTTCGATGAAGTAGAGAGAAATCAGTGCTAGTTATAGTATATATGCCCATGTTATACCTTTTTTTCAGGTCAAAATTAATTGAAGTGAACTCTGTCCAGCCCAGTATTGCCAATTTTGGAAGGTCCTTGCTAGGTGGCTACTGTCCATTTTACGTACCTGACTTTGTTTTGCAAGGACTAGGAAATGATGAGAAACTGAGACACTGTTTGATGTCAGATTTGTCGCATGCTGTGCAGGTAATTTAAACTATATTCAACGGATGAAACATATCTCAAACTCAATAAAAGGAAATATTTCTGAAGCCTTGTTAGAGCAGGCATGGAGTTTAAAAAAAAATTCATGATCTCATTCAGAAAATATTCTTATCATTTCATAGAAAAAAGACTTATTCATTATAGGCTAAGAAACTTTGGCTAAGGATCTTTAGATGTTCTCTTCCTTGAGGTCACATTTAATTCTCAAATTTGAGTCTAATCTTATTTCATTCACTATTTAGTGTTATTATTTATGTAACCACTGATTAAATGTTTATGTTTGAGTAATAGGTATTAGTGGTAAAGAACTCATCATGTCCTGCTTAGAAGGTTTTAGAGGCATCTGGTTGGCCCTTTGCTTAAACTGAATTCTACATTCATAAAATTCATAATCTGATCTACAAAGGGAACATTTATATTTTAAATTATTATTTAAGTTTTTCCACTTGTTAATGGAACAAAAAAGTGTAATATGGTGTTGCTCTTAGCAATGTAGGCAATTAGTAATGAACTATGAACAGGAACATGTATATTAAATATGACCTTAAAATTAACTTTACATGTGCCATGGCTTTGTAAGGTTAGCAGCTGGTTGTATTTTTGTCCAACAACTTCCTGTTCAGTAGTGACCTAAAGATTAACATTACTCAGGAAATATAGGTCATCATTTTCTGGCTTGTGATTTGAAATGGGTGTTTTCCGTTCATTTTCAAACAAAAGGAAAAAAAATGTTTCCCTCAGATTACAGATAATCTCAATTTAATGACCACAATTGAGCCGAGAATTTCTATTGCTAACTGAGCCGTTTGTTAAGTGCACTGCAACTGTCATAAATACAAGTCAGTTACAAGCATCTGAATTCTGATCATGTGACCATGGGGATGTTGCAATGGTCGCAAGTGTGAAAAACAGTCAAGTCACTTTTTTCAGTGCTGTTGCAACTTTGAACAGTCACTAAACAACTATTATAAATTGAGGACTACCTGTATAATTTCCAACATCAAAAATGACCAAGAGTGATGAGACAATATACTGTATATAGACCTCCATACACATTGACAGACGTTCCCATACACAACACTGGCTGTGAGAGAGAATGGATATAATTTTGATGATTTGAGGGCCTCAATCATTTAGGCTTTTGTGGTTCAAATGTAAACAACTTGGGCACATTTGATCTGCTTCAGAACTACTACAAACTCATTATTTTACAAGTGCTTCTCTTTTGCTCCCTCTGCTGGTGTTTGTGCCTAGGCAGGCTTGTGGCTACAACTTCACAATTTCACAATATGAATTGGAAGATGACATCCTTAGACAGCTTCATTTGCAAATTGAAAAAAAAAAGATAGAACCATTCTAAGGCGCTTTTGATCTACATCAGTTTAGTTGATGTAAACCGAAGCACTCTTGCACAAAAGTACAAAGGAAGAGAAAGAGATCTTTAAATAAGTTTCAGAGCTTGTGTGTGAAGCTCTTCTTGAAAATGAGATCTGGAACTGTTGTTGATCTTCAAAATTCAAAATTGCCTTGAATGTGTAGACTGACTTTTGTATTTGTTTATAGCCTGTGTCTTTATTACAGTGAATATACTAAGAGTTTGTTTCATTAAATTAGATACTGCCTTTCGTGGAATTGCAGCTTTTCTCAAAACACTGCATCTCTGCTGTTGCTGATACCCTGTTTGACCTCTGATTCTAAATTATTTTGAGATTTTCATTCTCAAAGCAAATTTACTGAGAAAGTTCTCCTACACCATTGGTTGTTGACTATAATATCTTTAATACCAAAGTCACATTTGTTAAATGGCATGTATCCGTTTGACTTCCAGCATCCTGTTCTGGATGAACCAATTGCAGAAGCTGTCTGCATTATCGCAGATACTGATAAATGGACAGTGCAAGTGGCCAGTAGCCAGAGACGAATCATCGACAACAAACTTGGGAAAGATGTACTAGTCTCTAACCTTGTCTCCAACCTGCTTCATTCCACTCTTCATCTTTATAAGCATAATTTATCTCCAAATTTTGTAAGTACTTGGGCAGCTGAACTGTGAATTGGAATCCTGTGGTTTCTGTCACTTTGCTACATTACTGTATTTGCCCACTCCCCCAAAAATCAAAATATCTTTAGTTCCTTTGACTTCAGTTGAATTTATTTTTTTATGTGAACTCTAGTTATTCTTACAAACTTTGGAATTTCCCAGCAAATTTAGCAATTCTTCAACTTCTGGTTGTTTCCCAAGTCTGATGTTTCTGAACAGAACAGCAGAAGCAGATGGAGATTATTCTCCAAAAATATAATTATCAGTACATCTAAAGCTCCCACTCTTGGGTTTTGTTTCTTACGTTAATGAAACATGAAATTGCAGACTACAAACTATTTAGTTTTCATATTTGAATGTATAACCCCAATAACTGAAAAAATGTTACAAAATCCGTCAGAGTGGCCACAACTTGTCACTTTGCAACAATTTAATATTTATTCATTGCTTGCCTCTTTTCCATTATTTCTTCCTAAGCCTTTCACATACACTCCCACTTTTCCTATAATATGCTTGATTTTGAAAGTTTAAAGAGCACTGTATGCATACAATCAAAGGCTATTTTGAAAACTGATAGTCAACAATCAATTAAAATTATCTTCATGAAACTAAATCAGAATAGATTATCCATTATCTCTGCACTCTTTTTTTTTTTTTTTTTTCTTTATTTCAGAAATACTTGTGGATATATAGCAGGATGAGTTTTACAGCAGGAATGTTTTCCATTGAGTATCTTTCTTCTATTTTAAGATTACCATTAGTCTTTTTTTTTAATTTAACAAAAACCCAAGTAGTATGGGGTATATTAAGCTCTGCAACCTACTGTAAGCATTACTTCAGAGGCTGAAAAAGATTAAGGAGATGATTTGATAAACAGGCAGCTGCCAGGTTTTCTATGACTTGCAAAGATATGGATTTTTGCCTCTTCACGGGACATTTGTTAAGAGAAAGAGTGTCAGCTTTCACATTAAGACATTATTCAAGTTCTATATGAGTAAGAATCCAGTTGCTGAAATTCTTGTATCCTGTTCTTCCTCACTCAATAAGCCTAGTTAATGAAAGCTGTACAAGAATCTTGTTTGGAAGAGTTACCTTTGGTTACGTTAACTGTCAAACTTCGTCAACTATCAAGAATTAATGCTATTAATGTCTAATATCTTTACTGATTATAATTACAACTACATGTAAGCATATTCAGATGTGTATGTGCCTACAATAAAGACCTATCGGCCAATGTTGTGATGTTATTGTTTCTTTTTTCATTTGTTCCTAGTGTATCATGCATCTAGAAGATCGGTTGCAGGAGTTGTATTTTAAGAGCAAAATGTTGTCGGAATATCTCAAAGGCCAAATGCGGGTTCATGTGAAGGAACTGGGAGTAGTACTGGGGTATGTTTTCTATCCAATTCTTGGTCCTGTTTACTTGTTTATTTTGAATATACAACTTGTAGGACTATTTGCAACAAATGTTTCATAGTTGGGAACAGCTTTACTGACTTGATCTGCAATTCAGATCTAATTTCCTTTCACACTGAACTTTTTACTAGGAAAGCGTCTGTACTGAGTTGCAGAGTTTAAATTATAACCTACTTGGAGCAGGAAAGATAGGTTTCACCAGTTGCTTGGCTATTAACTCTTGTGGGAAACAAAGATAACTTTAAGCAAGAAGAGTCTATCTAAGGGCAGCAATTAGAGCTGACTGTTGGTAAATTACAGGGTAATTTTTTGGAAAAACAAAAGTTTGTATGTACGGTATATCTCAATATGTTGTTCTTTTGCAGTATAAGAATCTACTATAAAACCAGTCCTTAAAGCTATATTTGTAGGCAGCATATAAAATAAGGCCAATACAAAGGACATATTTTCTTAGTTTATGCTTTCCTTTTTCTTGGGTTCCAATTTATTCATATCTAATTTTAAGAAAGCATTCCAAACTTAAACCAGTGATCAAAAATTGTGTACTTGAAAATGTTCAGAATTTCATCTATCTACTTTTGATTTCCAAGACAGCTGAAACAAGTACATCTTTAGAAAGCAGACTTTAGACTTGGGGTCCTGGGGGAATTGCTTCTTGTGACCATCAGTCCCGTCATATGTATTTATGAAATAAGTGTTTGCATTCTTTAATTACAGTAACATCCAGAGGTTAGTCTAATATATTTAAAGTACATTGACAGTTCATATAAACAGGCTGTTTATGTTTTAATAAACTAACTAGAAGTACTTTTACAGGAGAAAATTATAATGAGCTTCAGAACTTTTCAAGTCAGGGTAGTTGTTGATAATATTTCTTTGTCTTGTAGGATTGAGTCCAGTGACCTCCCTTTATTGGCAGCTGTAGCAAGCACCCACTCTCCATATGTTGCCCAGATTCTTCTCTAAAACACCAAAAGGGCAAAGACAATAATTCTATTTTTATAAAACGGAAGACAAGGAAACAGACGTGAACTTCCATTTTCCAGACTCATTCTTGCTTGCAGGCAAGTGACTTGAACAACCTGCCAGCTTGATAATGTGCCTCTGCAAGTGAACACATAAATGTACGAACATGTTCCCCTTCTTTTCCTTCCCTATTCATTTAAAAATCAACCAACCAACCAACCAACCAATGGAACAGAGATTCAGATGACTAAAGAAGACACTAGAGCTTGGAGTACTGTACATGGTTTGGACAAGGATTGCCAAAGTGATTGTAACTGCAGACTGTTGAATTACAGGATCACCAGAATGAAGAGCTCCTTTGTGACCTCCAAAGTGCTGTTGGTGCTTGTACAAGGGATTGGAACCAGCTAATGTTTGAAGCCAATGAATAGTATATTTATAATGCATAATGACAAAGCTCTTTTTGTAACCAATTCAACTGCATTAGAAGGACAACAAAATGTTTATTTGATAAAGGCAGTTGGATTGTAACCAATTCAACTGTGCCAGAGGTGCAGAAATTAATTGTTAATGGCAGGTAGGAGTTGGGAAGGTAGCGTGCAATTCTTTCCGTAGGAGGAGGCCTGGGTGTAATATTTGTACGAATGCTTGATATTGATTGAGAATGAGTGAATAAATTTGAATGTGTGTGTGTGTGTGTGTGTGTGTGTGTGTTTTTGTAGATTTTCACGGGTGTAGGTATGCTGGACTTGTTGTATTCGGGTCTCAATCTCAATCTTACATGGGAAAAGACCCGGATACAACAAGACCAGCATACACACGCACATGCACACGCACACGCACACACACATATTTATATCCCCCATTTGGGTGCAAAATTGACATTATGCTTGTTATGTTCTGATGATGATAATACTACTGTTTAAAGATTACAGAAAACAAATATTTGTTTTTTTATTAAAAAAAGGAAAAAGCTGAACAAATGTTCTGTAATATTTTGTTAGTTTTTTTAACAAGAATTTCTTCCCCTTTTGATCATGCTTGATTTGGGATGCTATAAAGAAAAAACCAGGTGCTGTTAAACCTTTTTTTTTTTTTAAAAAAAAGAGGATGCTGTAAGAGCTTTATTACATATTGGTGTTCCATTAATTTCAGCGTATTTTTCAAAAAATTCAGAAGAGTATGAATTATTGAGAATTTATACCTTAGAAATTATATAATTTCTGTAATAGAATTAAAAGGCTGCTAAATTCTTTAACTATCCTGACAAATTTTAAGCCTTAAAATTCAATTTGTTTGCATGGTATTAATTATTAGGCCATTCTGATGAGATCACTTTTCTAACCTGTTTATTAAGAACTGGTTTACAATCTAATCATATGCATGTTTGCTTTGAAGTAAGTCCCAGGAAGTTTAATGGGATTTACAAGTTCTATCCAATTGTTTCCTCTGGCAATCACTCTGTGCCCACTTACAATCTTTGGGGGAAGACCTGGAAGTATGAAGAAAAGGCAAACTATGCCATCCCCTTTCATCCTATGCTATCATTTTGGTCATGATTAAGCAGTAAATAATTCTGGTATGGGACCTGTAAGTTATAAATATTATAAATAAATGTGAAGAGCCCCCTAGATGTCTTGCAGCTAGAATTCTAAGAATTCTCTGTCAAATGGATTTTTGGGAGCTGTAGTTCCAAAAGACGTAGTAGTTTTTAATTTGGGAATGATGATATTATTTTGAATCATTTTTTTTGAATTAAATAAGGGGAAATGGCATTAAAAACATTTAAATACATTCCCCTGTATATAGTCAAGCATCAACAACATAGCAAATTGCTCTATTTTGTGATATTTTGACTCAGTTGAACTCAAAACACATTTTTTCCTAATTCAGACACACATGAAGTTGTTGACTTTTTTTTCTTTTGATCTATTTTTGAAGATTGCTAGAGTCTTTCCTCCTTGGCGTTGCTGGAAAACATATCACAAGGTATGCTCACATTGCCCTTGTCCATAATAAAAACAGTTCTTATGGAGCTACTTTGATAACACTATTGCTATGTACTATGACTGTATTAGGTCTGTGGCATTAATAGTAATAGGAGGAAACCCCATCCTACTTTTTAAATTAATCTGGGAACTTTAAAACAGTTTAAACTGGTTAAGGTATAGGGCAGCTTTACAAATAAATGATCGTTTATTTTATGGCACAGTAGCCTGTGCAGTCTATTAAAATTTTAAACAATAATTGGACAGAGCCTAAAACTATTTTCTCTAGTAAAATCTTATCACTTGTTAAAAGATCCCTGCTTCCCCACTTCTTACTATTAAAAATGAATAAGAATTCAGTTTTTATTTGAATACAGTTTATGATAAAATAAAGTCACAATAATATGTACAGACTATTCTTCCACATTAGAAATACTTGTTCCTTGACAGTCAAGGAACAGTTTTAGTAACATACTTGAGAAGTGAATAGAAATCCATATAAAATAATATTCAATTTCCATCAGACCACATAGATAAATGTGGCCTCCCCTTTCATTTACCTGTTACACATGCCCTAAGTTTTCCAAACATTTAAAAATATTTTTTTCTGGTATAAAAATTCATCTCTACACCTGCACATTAGCTAACAGTGTATTCAAAAATTAACATTCAGTCTGCTGGCCCTTTGAAGTGGTAGGCGTAAGCAAGTGGGTGGGTTTAGTATTTAACTTTTTGGGCCATTGTTTTTAGAACAAATTGAAAGATAAGAAACTTTGCAGGCTGTCTCCCCAGTAAGCAATGTGAACCCTGAGAGTTCAGGCTGATTTTAATACAGATGTCACTCACTAATGGCTGCACTAAATGTTAGAATTAAGTGGACATAGATTTGCCTTTTGTAGTTAAAATTAATTAAGCTTGGGTTGGTCATTAAGGTAACCCAGAGAACAGCAAGCCTGGGCTCAATTGTTTATCATATCTTAATAGAAAGAAATTGGGGCAAAAATAAATGCATGGTTAGATTTTTAAGTGATTCTCATCAGGTGGCTACATTATAATTGTGCTAAAATTTGATTTTTTTAAACAATGGGATCTAAAAGTCTGTCTGAAAACAGAAGCTACAACGATGACAGGGAAAAGGGTTTTTCAATAGTCAAGGACACCTGGTTTATAATATTTTCTATGGTTCTTCCCAACTGAGAAATAATTTGCATTCCAGTTTGAACATAAATCTGTCTCCCATCCCTCACCCTCATATATCTTGCAGACAATCACCTTGAACATGTTTAGTAAAGAAACTGCAAGTTTCAAGGATTTCCACATTGAAAAAAGTGATGAATGTGTTGGACGTGCTGATAAAAGTCTGCAGTACTGAAAGCCATAATTTTAACTCAAATGTTTAAGTCCCACAGGGGTTTCCACACTTTAGCTTCATGCCAGATATTCTGTAACTTACATTTTTTTGCAAAAGGATAGGACAGTTTACACCATAAGCTTTTGTTATCTCCAGTCAACTTTCTTTCCTCCATTATTCTGAAGTGAAGGTCATAATTACTCAAAATGGTAGAAGACAAAGCAATCATCTGCATATCTAAAAATGGTCTTGTGTGATTCACATGTAAAGCTAGGGCAGTCTGCTCTTGCCACATATAGATTGGCCTTTAACAATTTGTCATCTAATTTCCAAATTAAAGCTAGAATCCCAAATGATATTGCATCTTAGTTTTCCTCTTGTGGTATTGATAAATTAAGCTGTTGATTGCAGCGGTGTTGCCTGGCCTTACAGCTCTCCTGTTCCTCTTAGGGCTTCTGTTCTCAGTTGCAGAGGCGTTTGTACAGTACAAGTGGACTTAAAATATTCTGGTATGCCATTTTCATGTTGTAAAATACAGGAAATCTTGTTGGAGCAAAGAATTTGCTTATTTGTTCCCTCTCTGTTCCTGCATTGTGTGACAGCTGCGTATGTAGTTATTCTGTTATCTTTCAAGATGGCGGCTATTGGTGATTTGAAGGCATCCATTTACACGGTTTCTTGGATGAACTCTAAGCAGGGCCTCTAAATAGGAAGTTTTCCCACTACAGCAGTGAACTTATATGTTCACTGGCAATTTTAAAAGCTTGTAAATGCCGGTGTTTCTCAACCTTGGCAACTTGAAGATGTCTGGAGTTTAACTCCCAGAATTCACCAGCCAGTTTGGAAGCTGAAGTCCATGCATCTTCAAGCTGTCAAGGTTGAAAAGCACTGGATTAAGAAGAAACTTTGGCAATTTCTTCAACTAATAAGTGTTACCATTGATGAATTTCTCCAAAATTATTATATAATTAAACATTATCCTTCAATTCCAAGCATTTGGTTGAATTGGTTTTTTTTTAATGATGTCGTTATTCATTCTAATTATATAATGGGAATAGTTACTGTGCAAAAGGTATGGCATGAGAGCATGCTTTCTTGTGACTGATAACTTGTATATGGTACATGAAATATCAAGGTACTGCATAGATTTATCTGGATTTTAATTTTTTTTCTAAGGGAAGTATAACAGCGCTGTAGCATTGACCTCATATCATGCTGTTCAGAACAATGTATGTACAAGACTAATCTTGATTTTTGCAATATTTCTAATGCCCATTAATATGTCTTAATTTTAAGGCTGAAAATATTTAAGTGTATTGCACATAAATGCTAACAAATTTATTTCTGTTAACTTGCAAATTATGCAAGATTGTTTAAAAATACAAAGGGAAAAGGGGAATCTGAAACATGATTTTTCAATGTAGCCTTTTAAAATCTGTTTGAGTTAAAAACAGGTTTTTTTAAAAAAATGGTTTTAATTGTCTTGTTTTCAGTCTTCTCTAAATTATGTAAATGGTGGTATGTGTTATATGCTGGATAAAATGTACATAATTGTTATCTTTTGTGTTTTTCTGTAATATATATGTGTTTGTGTGTGTGTATGTATGTATGTATATATATATATACTATATACATACACACACACACATACACAAATGTACATACATATCTCAAGATGTGCACTTGTATTATAATAACTGTTCCCAGTTTTAGGGGAACTTTGTGCAATAAATACAAGTTTGTCCCTTTAACTGCTAATTGTTAACATTGTCTTATTTTATTCAGAGTGTCAGATTGTCGATTAAAAAAAAAGCATAATCTAGAATTATTTCAAACATCAGTCTCATCCGTCTTGTACCTGTATCAATTTCACATGCACATAGAGAAGAACAGGGCTTTAATTGTGATAGCTGTTTTGATCGCCATTCTGCAAGTAATGGTGTAGAGCTATTTATGAATAAAGGGGGGAAATGCATATCAGGAATTATCTATATTTTTAAGAACAGCTCAGTTGCTTACCTGCTGAACCGGTAGTAAAAAAAAGTTCCGAGGATCGCGTGGCTCAGCTGTGAGCCGTGCAATCATTGGAAGCTTTCCTCCCCCCCCACACACTCTTTAAAGTATTTTTTCCCTACTAGTTCAAGTGAATAGGCAGGGAAAAAATGCTTTAAAAAGCGGTGGGGGGGTTGCTGCAAAAGATAGAGGAATGGGAGGGAAAAAGGAGAGGGAGGAAGGACCACAAACCTGGCACTAAGCACAGCTTCAGAGGATACCTGGAAAAAGCACAGCAATCCACAGCTGGAAGGGATCTGGAGGTCATCTAGTCCAATTTCCTGCTCCAGCAGGACATTTCTAAGTTTCTGTCTTTTGACACACACACCCCAGTCACATGACTATATACCCACATCCACCC